ACTCACCTTCTTCCAAACTTTCCCGGGATTTATCTCGGAAACTTTCGGAGCGAGGCGGAGGCCGTCTTTCCGCCTTCCCGGAGTGGCGAAGTGGAGAGGGCGAGGGGCAATCGCCGCGCCGAGGGGGTGCGGAGGAGGGAGGGTCGGCGGGGAAAGGGGTGCAGAAAAAACACGGTTACAAGTTTTTGCAGTCAGCAGCCCCGGCAACCGTCCGTGCCGCCCGCCGCCCGCAACCCCGACCCGCCTCGCCTTCCAGCCCCAGTCTCCGAGCCCGGGAACCGGCAAGAACAACCTCGCCAGCCCGAGGGGCTCTTCCTACCTCGGAATCGGAGGAGCTGTTTTGATTCGTCTCTGATTCATTGACCAGCGACGACTTGACATCGGCTAAATCCCTCTCCGCCGAGGAGTTTTCCGAGTTCTTCTCCTCCTGCTCGCCCTCGTCTTTGAAGGAGATCAGTTCGTCGTTAGCGCCTAGGTCATCTCCTCCACCGCCGTTCAGCTGCGGCATTTTTTTTCACCCACCAGCAGCAATTTTGGAAGAAAAATGAAGGAGGAAGAAAAGCAAAAAAAAAAAAAAGTTTTGCGAGCCCCCCAAAAAATATTGCAAGAAAAAGACGAGTCCAAGGTTAACTTTTTTTTCCTTCTTTGGGGTCTTTCTCTCCTGGGGAGGGGAAAAGAGGGAGGAGGGGAGGGGAAGGGGGAGATCTTCTGCACGCGTGAGTTTGGATTTCTTTTTTCTCTCGTTCCCAAGGATCCGATCAATGTGCAAAAAAATAATAAATAAAAAACGGGGGTTAAAAAAAAACAACAACAACAAGTCAGATATAAGAGCAAAGGGGGGGGAAGCCGAAGACACCGAAGGAGCTCGTGCCGCTCGGATTTGAGTGAGTTGAAGTTAGACTGAGCTTTTCAGTTCAAAGGCGGCGCTGATTGACAGATAGAAAAAGGGGGATCGAAATCCGGAGGAACGGAGTAGTCTGGGAGCGGAGATTATTGACAGGGCGAGAGGAACACACTCGCCTTAATGAGATGCCAGGGGGCGGGGCGAGCCGGGTGACGTGTGCATAAATAAACAGCCGGGGTGGGCGGGGCGGGGGCGGCCAACAATGATCCTTTGGGCGCCGGGAGAGCGAGCGGGGCGGGCCGGGCGGCGGGAGGCGAGCGGGGTGCGGCCTGTGCGCGCTGCGCGAGCTGGGCGCCCAGACGGTGCGGGCCCCCGCTCCTGGAGGGGGCGGGTTCCGAAAGACAATGCGGACCGGGAGAGGAGGGGAAGGGGGTGGCAACCGAGTCCGGAATCTGAGCCGGTGAAGGCGGAAGGAAAGCCCACTTGGGGGGCGGGGATGGGGGAGAGGCCCAGAAAAAGTATTAGCCAGAAGTCTCTAGGATGGGGACCAATAGGGAAGGACTGTGGGACGTAGGGACAGGGTGCTCAATGGTTAATCCCGCAGAGAAGTCGGACGCCCTGGGGCGGGATAAGACACAACTGGTCCAAAAAGCTCACCCTTCTGCTCTGAGAAAACCTGGGGAAGCAGAGGGGCTGGGCCACGAACATTCAAGGAGGTTAACCCACAAGGGCTCCCCTCCCTTTTTTCTTTAATGACAGTGAGTCACGTCATTAAATGTAAGGACCCACTCGGTTAAATATGCCAAGAAGGCGTTTTATCCAAAAAAACAAATACTTTAGGTTTGTCTGGGGTAACTAAAAATATCCTTAAGGGAAATGTAAAGTTGTTGGTTTTGGGTTTTCTTCTTTCTTTTTTTTTTTTTTTTTAACTGACGTTGGAAGTAGGAAGTGATGTAGAATCCAAAGTCCGTTCTGACTTTGGAGGTGAAAAGTTTGGGCGTTAACAGCGCCAGGGAAAATAAAAGTGAAAGTTCACCAAGCCCTGGGATGAGTGGGACTGCAGTTTTTCTCCAAGAGGGTCTGAGAGGAAATGCCCAGAAGCTGAGACAGTCACCAAAGCTGGCCTAGAAGCCCTTGGGGAGGCGGGAGGAGGCCCAGAATTCTGAGACAGGTATCTGTTGGTTATTAGGCTCGGGGAGGGCAAACTGATTTGCTATGAAATGGGGAAGAAAATTATGTTAAAGGAGAAAGGCGGATTCCCAAACAGTGTTCCTGGATGGTAGAGTGAGAAGGTCCTTTTTCTTGTAAGTATACAGTGAGAAGTGAACTGGGAATTCCAAGGTGAAAGAGAAGCCCCCATCCCTCCCACCCCCAAAGAAAGAAAGAATAGGAATTGTCAATTTACTATTAGGTGTGATGTTACTCCGGGGTCCACAAAGCATTAAATTAGCCCACCCTCCCCCTTTAAAAAGCGCATCTGTTGTAGATTTCCAAAAGTAACCAATTTGCCGTGTAATATCTAGAGAGTTTGGGGTTTCAACGAAACTGTTCTACGGGCTCAGGCCTCAGAAAGAAGACAACTGAAAATAATGATACTGAGATTGACAAGACCGGCGAATTCCCCTGCACCGGAAAGAAAAAAATCCCAGGCACATTAGCACACTAAAGCGGAAGATGCAGGCAAAATAAGGATGGGATGGGGGAGGCAGACAGTGAGATCACTATCCCACCAGCTCCCAACCTCCATATTCATCAGAAAACCAGAAGTGGAGGGAGAAAGAACCCGGGAAAAAAAATAATAAAACAAGACAAATGTGTACGTTTCATTGGGCAGATTGCGTGGGACACAGAGTGGAGGGCTAATTAGTCTCAGCAGGTAGGACTAACCTTCAGACTTCCTAACTAAATAAGACAGACGGCGGGCGCAGTCTAAGAGGAAAGTGGAGACAGAAAGGGGAATATTTCAAGACACCAAGTACAGACGCTAAGCATGAAGCACAGCCCTGTCTTGAATCCACGTACAGATGGCTGATGCCCTTTCTGGATCTTTCCTCTGGATACCTTTAGAGTCCACATCCAGCCAATACAGCTGCAGCTTTCCCCACTTGCTAACTGTATACAACGTGTACCGTATAGACTATGCCAAGTCTGTTTGGAGCTTGTTGACATAAATGGAACACTTCTACAGTGAGTCTGCGTTTAATGAACAAGTCTGTCCTGTAGGATGGGTTCTTTTTGGATTTTAATCAAACCCTGACCTGAATCAGGTTGAGTAGGGAGGTCTTCTGTGTTCCTTAGGGGGTTGATTGTACAATAAAAGCTTATGAATATACTTGAAGTTGTTAAAGTGTCATTGTTTTTAACATACTGCATTTTCGTCATGCGTCAACACTAAGGACTTTCTCCGGTGACCAATACCATCATCTAGTTTGGCACAGCCTTATTTTTCTCACTCATAGGAAACCTTTGAATCGTCCCTTCAATCTCCAACTTAATTAAGCAATTAAAAGTTATTCCATAACAAGTCTTGTGCCACATTTAATCTCATTGCATGATGCTATAAAAAGACTTGGGGGAGAGAAAGCCTCAAGGTCTTGATTGACCTCCAGTCCCTGTTGCTGCTTATAGTGGTTCACAGAAAGGCGGCAGTGGGGGGGGGGGGGGGGGGCGGGGGAGATCAGGGTAAGGCTTGCCACTGGCCGGCAGCAAGGTAAAACAATACTCAAAAAGGAAAAGCCAGGTTAGCCCATCATGCGGACCTGCGGTTTATAGATTTGACAAGGACTCTTTAGACTCCAGCTGGTTCATGTCCAAGCACTGAGGGACCATCTCTCTAAGCCCTGATGACTCTTGGTTTAAATGACCTAATTCTGACCAATTGGCAAAGATAACAAAAATGCAAGAGGGACATCAAAATGGTTCTAATGGTCGCTTGAGCCTTGCATGGCGTTTGGACATCCTGGTCCTTGCATGTGGGAGTAGGCAGAATAGATGAAGATGTTGTTCTTAGCATTTGGTGTCTCTTCCTGGGCCAGCCCAGGTCCCCAAGTGCCAAGCTGTCCTACATCCACCCTTTGTCCTCTTTATTCCATGCCTGTCTTCTTGATCTTGCCTAGGCCTTCCTTTTATTGGCTCTCTCTTTGTGGTTTTAAATTTTTTAATTTGTATATTGCCTTAAAACCTAAGTACTGAACTAGCCCTATGTGACTCAAGTCTGAAAACCTAGCGTTCAGGAGGCGGAAGCCTGGTCTACGGAGTAAGTGACAGAAGAGCTAGGTTTGTGTATGAAGAGCCTCACTTATGAAGTGTGTTACATAAATAAATACGCCCTAAAAGACCAGGTTGCCAAGGAGAGTAGGGTGTGATTTCTAACCATGGGAGTGAGATGGTGGCTGTTGTTTACACCAGTCATCCTCTTGGCACTGGGGGGAGGGAGGGGGTTAGCAACTGGAATAATAGATTGACTTTAAACCAAGCCGTGTTACCTGTGGCCTCTCTGTCCTGCATCACCTTGGGGATGAGGTATAGATATTTTCTGTTACATTTTTTATGTTCAAAAGAGCCCATGAGTCTATCATTTTCTCCCAGACTACAGTCATTACCAAAATTTTCTCAGCACCCCAGCAAAGAGAAGCCATAGTAAGAGGCTGGCTTTGTGATACTGGGGTTACCAGGGTGGTTGGCTTGCATCATCTAGAAGCGGGGGTTTCATAATGAAGGCAACCCTCTGCTCCTCCAATCACTAGATGAGAGTCTATTCAAGGACCTTTGACATCAGCCTATGCGTGCATGAGACCGCATGTGTGTGAATGCGTGTGTATTTGTGTGTGTGTTTGTGCGCGCATGTATATGTGTGTGTTTCTGTTCTTGTTCGATTTCCCCTTGCAGATCTAGCTGTAACATGGGTGATCTGTCACCCACTGTGTTGGGCTTATCTTGGCAGGGAGTGTGCTGACTGAGGGAAGAAAAAAAAGCATTTAGAAGTACAAGGAAGCTATAAAGGTGAGCGGGGGAGGGGTTGTTTAGAAGCCAAAGTCCTGATTCCACTGAGAGATCTTTTTGTTTGCTTTTGTCCCATGTGGGTGATGAGCATTCATCTGGAAGTTCAGGAAAGGAAGGCTCCTCCCTTAGCCAACATAGGAGCAGACATCTGGGCTGGGGTGTAGCTCAGTTGGTAGAGTGCTTGCCTAGCGTGCAAGAGACCTGGGTTCAACTCCCAGCGCTGCATCAGCGAGGAATGGTGACGCCTGCCTGTAACCCTAACATCAGGAAGTAGAAGGCAGATCAGAAGTTCAAGGTCATCTTCTGCTAAATAGTGAGTTTAAATCAGTGACCTTACATACATACATGCATACGTGCATACAGACAGACATAGATGATAGACTAGATTAGCCAAGCCTGACAACCTGAGTTCAGATTCCAGAGTTTAAATCAGCGTGAGAGATACAGGAGACCTTACCTAAGATTAGATAGATAGACAGCTACATACATACATGCATACAGACAGACAGACATAGATAATAGACTAGATTAGCCAAACCTGACAACCCAAGTTCAGATTCCAGAGCCTACGTGGTAAATTGAGAAAACCAACTCCTGTGAGTTGCCCATGCCCTCCCCTGAGTTCTACCAACTTCCAAAGCAATTGACGTCCATCCAGGTAATAAAGGGACAATGGTGTCCCATGTCCCAGAGACCAGTGGGAAGTGTATACACTTGTTAAATACTGTGTCCCCCACATTTGTAAACTGATCATGGCCGCTATAGGTATCTGTGATGAGAGCAGCAGCCAGAAGACATCGGTCCTCTCTAAAGAGACCCCTTTTATCAACAGGATGCCTTTTAACCCTAATAGCATTAGAAGAAGGCCAATAAATGAAATACTTGCTTTATTTTGGGGTGGCGTATGATTCCTTTCTTGCCATCGCTAGCAAACGTTTGTTCACTAATTTGCTCCCTAGAAATCTCACTTGCTACAGTTACACGGCCGTGACGTTTCATCGCCTGGAGCCAAGTCTGCATAAGAGCTTCCTTAAGATATACTTACCCTAATGCCAGGCTACAGGAGCCAGGCTGCTTTTGTACCAAATTATTTGTGCTTGCCTGGTATACAGGGCAGAGCCTTCCTTGCAGTCATTGCCATAGGGTAGGTCTAAATGTTTCTGAGCAGCAAAAAAAGATGGGGAAAAGGTGAAAAAGTTCCATGTAAGTTGATCTTGCGGATGGCTTCAGAATGAATAATCGCTTGTGTGTTTAACATGTGAAAATGCCAATGTTTTCTTTTCATTTTCTTTGTATGAGTTGGGTGTGTGTTTGTGTCAGTGCAGGGATGTGTATGTGGGAGCCAAAGGTCAACCTTAAGGGTCATTCCTCAGGCTCCATCCACCTTGTTTTTTTTGAGACAGGGTCTCTCATTGAAGTATAGCTTGCCCGCTAGGCTGGGCTGGCTTTTGAATAAACTCTAGGGATCCCTGTTCTTCTCTACTTCCCCTGCACTGGGATAACCAGCATGCATCACCATACCCCAGTGTTTATGCAGGTGCTGGGAACCCAGACTCAGGTCCTCGTTTCCAGATGAAGCCATCATACCCATCTCCCATGCATTTCCTTTTCCTTTCCTCTTTAAATAAATAAGTAAATGAATGCTTCAATGATCCCATCCTGTATCACTGAGCATCTTTGCCCCCTCTGACCCAGTGCCATGTTTAAAAGTGTCTTGCAAACCAAAGCAACTACCACAAAAAAAAAAAAAATGTGGGCACTTTAAATTGAGTCAGACACACCATCAGGCAGCGTTGAGCAATCTCATAAGGTGGTTTACACATGTTCAAGGGACAGAGCAGGTGAAATTTCAGAAGACAATACTATTGTTTACTTGTAATTTATCTAGGTGTAGGCTGACACACCTGCCTTTGGCCAAGAGCATCATGGGATAGAAGAGGTGCTGGAACAAAAGAGACTCCTAGACTCAGACTGGGAAGGTCTGGGGCTTGAGCCCCGTAGGAATTCATGCACCGTCGAGCCCGTGTGTTCAGAGGAAGGATAAAATCATGTTGATTTAATCGCTGGAGTGTGGATCAAAATAAACACCTTTCTCTACTGTAAAATCTCAGTTATCTCTGTTCATTGGGGAGGGGGGGTGGATCATGTTTCCTAATGAAACATCCTTCTGGCTGGGGGAGAGGAGAGAGTGAAATGAGTTCCCGGTCCGGAGTGACTTTGGATCTCAGTACAGACAGCAGCCTGCAGCACAGGGTTCAGCAATGACAGAGCTTGCAGTTGGCTGTCATCTTGAGCAAACTCGGCTTCTTCATAGCCTGAGGGCACACTGTAAATACCCTGAGCAGGCGAGAAAGCATTAATCGTTATTCCTTAAAGGTTCCCAGAGAGCCAGAGAAACTGAGTGTTTCTAATTGCACGCGCGCGCACACACACACACACACACACACACACACACACGGCACATACATGACAAAATACTCAATTTTACTCTTTTAATTTAAAAGTAAATGATAGGGTCAGTCACGGGGCAAAGCCTACTAAGGATGCGTGGTTTCTATCCCAAGCTCAACACAATGTAACAAAAGAAACAAAGTAACAAATATGTGATGAATTTCCCCAGTACCACTGTACCCAAGCTTCCCAAAGGCAAGAATGGCTGTCTAGAAGGGGCTTGTCCACAAGGCCAACAGAGGCAGAGAACAAACAAACTCATTACATTTTACCAGTAAGGAAACAGGTTCCAAGAGACCCAGGTGTCATGCAGCCACTGAGTGGCCAGGCCAGGAGTTGAACTCCAGTTTCCTGGCCCTGAGCCGAGCCCTGCTTTGTTCCTGGAACCCGGTCAAGTCAACAGCAGAATCGTCCCCAGGATTTTTCTGATACTGGAGAGATGACTCAATGATTAAGAGGATGGGCTGCTCTTGCTGAGGACCCAGGATTAGTGTCCAGCATCCAGGTGATGGCTCTCAATTGTCTGTAACTCCAGTTTCGGTAGAGCTGATGCCCTCTTCTGGCCTCTGCAGGCACTGGGCACAAGCATGGCACACAAACAAATGTTTCCAAAACACTCATAGCCGGGCGGTGGTGGCGCACGCCTTTAATCCCAGCACTCGAGAGGCAGAGGCAGGCGGATCTCTGTGAGTTCGAGACCAGCCTGGTCTACAAGAGCTAGTTCCAGGACAGGCTCCAAAACCACAGAGAAAACCTATCTCGAAAAAACAAAAAAACAAACAAACAAACAAAAAAAAAACACTCATACACAGCAAATACATTTTTAAAATAAAAATAAATAAATAATAAAGAGGATATCAACAAAAAGAGAAATCTATTCTTTCAAAGGCATTTGCTCCTCCCTTTATCCTTTTTCCTGAGGTGTCCAGAGTTCTCTCCCCAGCAAATCCCTGTTTTACCCTATAATATCATTGTGTACTAGACACTGAAGTTTCTCTGCCTTGCCAGCCTTGGAAACTTCAGGGATGGAAGGAGTCGGTGGGGAAGTGGGCTGTCCTTCTCTGCACCTGCTGAAACTGACCCGTATTTGAAACCCCTACCACAGTGGTCAGTAGTAACTCCCTTTGGTGGTCAGAAGACATGCAGAGCTTAGGATGTCAATCACTGAGTGAAGTACTTGCCCGCATGCACGAGGCCCTGGGTTGCATTTCCAGCCCCACACAAGCAGACCATGGTGACACATTTTACAATCAGAGAATCAGGAGTTCAAGGACAACCTCAGCTACAGCTAAAGGTTGGGGCCAGCCTGGGCTATGAGAGATCCTGTCTCAATAAATAAACAAACAAAACTGCAGAGGTTGGAGGTGGCATTCCCCTATGTGGGAAACAGCTGCTCTGCCCAGAAGTTTCTGGGGAAATGTGAGCTCTTTAGCCTCTGGTTAGCTCATCTCCCCTTGCCACGGTCCCGCCTTCCTTTTTACCAGTGTTCTTCCAGGCTAGGGGCCTTGGAAGAGATTGCCACATGCCTTTGAGAGCCTTTTGGGGTCCCTCTGGTCTCAGGCGAGGCAGTTAGTGGACAACAGCCTGGTATATGGTTCACGTTCCAGTCAGGGTCTGGGGAAGCCCTAGCTGCCTCAGACCTACTATGTAGCAAAGGCTGGCCTTGAATCCTGATCCCCCTTCCCTCTGCCTCCCAGCTGTTGGTACGGCACCCCCAACGCCACCATACTCAACTTACTAAATTGGTTTTCTATCTGGAAGGGGCTCTCCGGCCCTCCTTCCCCCACTGGTTGGGAGTGGAGGGCAGTAGCAGAATGGTCTGGGAGGGTTTGGGTTTTTTTTTTCCTTCAACAAGACCCCATCACTCATGCTGAGAACCCACACTCAGCAGAAGGGGCCTCACCAGCAGGACCGGAAACCTGTGACCTTGGGCCCGCCCATAAATCACCCGACTCCTCCCTTGCCTATAAAGCGAAGGTACAATAACTGCGTTGGAGGGTTATCATGACTCAGGGAATGAGCACGTAAAATTAATAGCCTTGATTACTGTAGACTGTGGCGTTTCCTAGGGCGGTCTCCCTTTCCCTTCCTCGCCTCTCCAGAGGGCATGGAATGCCAGGACTACCCAAGTCCTGGCACCTGGGAGGCCTGCGTTCTCATCCCTGCTCATACCTTCCTGGTAACTTTGTCCAGATGCAGCTACTTGATAACAAGAGAACTCTAGCTCCCCCTGAGCTAAACTGTGGACCTCCAAAGACAAGCAGGCCCTGGCTGCAGGAGCCTGATAGCCTCCCTTTGAAGGGCTGGACTTCAGGAAGGGGACAGTCCCTCAGAGGTGTCTCCAGCTAAGTCCCTCCCACCCAGTTAGAGCAGTGGACAACTTTCCAAAGTCCCCAAGGCTCCCTCTCAATTGGCTAGCCATTGAAGAATGCTCAGCCTTCAGCAAAGACTGCCAGCTCTAAGGAGGGAGGCTGCTACACTCCCATCCGGCCTCAGCTCTCAAAGGGAGGCCACCGAGAAACACTGGCTCCAGCCACATGGGTGAGAAAGGAGGAAGTCTGGGTCAAAAAGGAAGAAGCCAGCCCAAGTCCAAGTGCCCTGTCCAGGTGGCTCCTGGCTTCTCTGGTCTCAAGGTCTTCAGATCCAGGCTCTTGTGATATTGCTACTCTTAGGAAGAGAAAAAAAAAAAAAAGGAAAAAAAATGAAGCAAGATTTGACCCATATCAAATCTCTAGATTTTTATTTAAATCTGTTTTATGTTGGGTGTGGTAGCAT